TCCCTCCTTTTTTTGTTTTCTTTTTCCCTTTGTTTTAAAACCAAATTAACCCAATGGAGGCCCAACAAGTCCAAGCCCAAAAGATAAGAAATTCATCCCCTCTTAAACAAGACCCACCACACGGAGTCCGGTAAATATTAATTTAATTGGAGTTTAGAGCCCGATAAATATAGATAAATTTAGTTAACAATCAATTTAAAATTAAATGAAAAATCTCCTGATTCGAGACTAACTAACCTGAGGGACTCAGGGCGTTACAGTAATTGTATCTTGATACTATTGTGAGTTTTTCGTTCCTGTACCTAAGTAATTGTGTTAGATTGCTTAGAAGGTAAAAAGCTTTTGTTGGGATCTAGGGAATATTTTTTGGGAGAGCTTATTGTAATCCAATTCTTGACAATATTAGTGAATTTTACCAACATCTGAGTGGAAGACTGGATGTAGCCCGTAGTGGTGAACCAATATAATTTTGCTGTGTCGTTTTGTTGTGTTCACAGTTTCTTCCTTATTTGCATATTGTGGTGTATGTTTGATATTTCTGTGGAAGGAGAAATTATTTAAGGCTATCAATTTCCTAACAGTTTTGTGGCCTAAGAATTCAAAGGATCCAAAGCCTTATTTCATGACAATTCTGGAACCCAACTCTTATCGGACTGCTTTCTCAAACTCTGTTGAGGTGGGCTGGTTGAGGTAGGCGAGGTAGGTTGGTTTTTTATTACATTGCGTATGTGAATTCTGTCGTTTTCCCAAATAAGTTGGATCTCTCATGGAAAAAAAAAAGAGAGAATTCATTTATTGATGTAAATTTAAAGAGATTATAGATCAAGAGATTTTAAAGTATCTCTTCTGATAGGAAAAATTGTATCTAAAGTTAAAAGATATTTTAGGGTGTGTTTAGAAAATCACTTTTGCCACGTCAAAATCACTTTCTTTTCCATTAACGATGTTTAGCAAATTAAAAAATTGATTTTAATAAAACGTAAAATCACTTAAATTTTATTTTTAAGGTATCACTTGGATGGTAATTTTGGAGAATCTATTCTAGTTAAATCCCTTGTTCTAAAATCACTAATTCATCATCCCTCCCAAACATATCCTTATTCTTCTACTTTCAAATTACTTCCAAGTGGATGAATCCTGCATGATTGCATGGTATACAATATTCTTTTAAGGTGTGAGAGTCACTGAAGCACAATTGCCTCTATTGGGCTTTAGAAAGTAGGCTATTATTATTTTTTTTCTTCAAGACTTAAATAAAATTTTATTTATACATGTAAAGATGGTGTTATGAATGAAAAGAAAGAAGTGAGGTGCTTTCAAGGGTTTTTTTATAGGTAAACATGCTTTTCAAAATTTCAATAGTGTACTCTTTTGGTTGTTCATTGGGGTGAAAAAAGTCCAACCGACTTGAAAAATCGATCTGAACCAATCCGGTCCGGATCAATTCTGATACGACCCGACCGAAACATAACCGGTTCGGTTGCTTTTTAACCCAATAGGGTTTCTTCGGATTGCAGTCCAACGACCCTCGACTCTCGTCTCTCGACTCCATAGTCGACCATTGCATTCGAGCTCGCACTCCGGCACTTATCCGATCGCAATCGGCGATTGCAGGAAAACGCTCCCTCTCACTGTTTGCAATTGCTAGAATCCAGAGCCTCATCGCTAGTTGCAGGAACCAGATGAACCTCTCCTATCTCTTACGGTATTTTTCCATCAAATCTCGCATTCCCGATTATTTTCGCTGTAGGATAACTAAATCTGTGAACTCGATTGCGTAGTACTTTGATGAATAATGAAAGCTGTGGCTGCCATTTTGATTGAGGGTTTCATGTATTTATAATAGGTTCCTGGTGGGAATTGGCATGAATCAATTCTGTGCATTTACGGTTTTTATCACAGCTTAATTTGCATTCTCTGCTTTGTGTGTTGATTTTTGATAGATGAGATTCTAAAGGCAAAAGCGTCACTGTAGAGTTGTGAGATTTGAAAGAGATCTACTTTTGTAAGTTCTTTGATGTGGGTCATGTCTATTTATAGACAATTAATGTTTGGTAAGCTTTGTGGACGTTAAATTGGTTAATATAATGATAAAAACTTGAAACAGATCTATATCTGAAATGAAACTGGGCAAATCAGCAACCACAATTTCCCTATAGTCTTTCATCGATTTACTGATTGTCATGATCCAGTTTTTGTATGATAAGATGGTGGACTAATGTGTTCCATAACTCTATTATTTCAAAGATGTAAGTTGTTAAGCTGATACATTTACAGTTGGTTTAAATACTTATTTTGGTCTCTATACTTTTGGTTTTGGTTCATTTTGATCCATGCACTTTTTAAGGTTCAATTTGGTCTCCGTAATTTCAACTTTTGTTCATTTTAGTAGTCAAAAGTTCAATTTTTTCTGTGTACTTTTAATTTTTATTCATTTTAGTCATTGTACTTTCAAAATGTTTGTTTTGGTTGGTTTCTATACTTCTAAGAGGTAATCAAATTGGTCCCTATTTGTAAAATTGAACACAAGTTTTAGACACTATTTTTTTTAGATAGAACTTTGTCTACATTTCAAAAAAATAGTTATAAAAATAAAAGTGAAGGGACGATAACATTTTGAAAGTATAAACAAAAACCAAAATAATAGTTTAACAAAAAAATATAAATACACGTTAAAAGTCTCGAAAATAATTAGACATTACTTATTAGAGCTTGAAAATCATATGTCGGATTTGATAAATCAACTGCGAAAAACGGTAAAAGCTGTAGTTAGGTAACAAGCACCATCTGTTGAATTTTCCACCCATAACTCAGAATGTACAAGCTGGAAAGGGTGTGAACTTCAAGATATACAGTTGTAAGATTCAAATAATCCATAATTATGATTATAATCTAGCATGTTCTTTAGTTTAACAGCATGTTGAAACTCTGCTGTTCAGGTTAGTGAACGAAATCTTGATGTTGTAGTTTTTTGGCATTGGTTACATTTTCATATTTCCTTATTTGAATTTGTACCTTTTTGTCTTGCCATGAAATTATTGATTGTTATGGCCTTAGATTAGACCTTATATCTTTTTTTTTTTGAAAGTAAACTATTTCATTGATAAGATGAAATATGAATACAAAAATGTAGAGGCCAATAGTTGGGAAATATCTGTAGGTAGAGCAACCGACCAGCAAAAAAGAAAAAGAAGTTTGTTCCATAAGCTAGAGGCCAATTTATAGGAGACAAAAATGGGCCCAATTGGTTCACCATGTTGCTTGCATATGATACACTAGTGAGGGGAGATATTCATATCAGGCATTTGTCTTTGTAACTTGTCTTGAGTATTGACAGCTTAGAGTCTAGATTCCCATAGGAAGAACTTAATCTTCTTAGGGTAATGGTCCTTCCAACTAGCACTGTATAAGGAAGAGGAAACCTATGAAGTAGCGGATAATTGGATGTCTTTGAGGAGGGAAGAAGTAGTGAATTGATCGTGAGATTCCAATCTCCATATGACAACATCCCTGTTGGATGAGAGACGAGAGGAGGATAGATTGTGAAAAGAGAAGCTAACTCCACAATCTCGGCCTCCTTGAGATTCCTTGAATGTCCCAAGAGTTGTCATCATAAGACCAAAAATCCTGTGCAGCACCCGGTTTTCTGTTGTGTAAGGCAAAGAGGAGGGGTAAGTATTGCAAACGGGTTCATTATTGAGCCGAACATCATTCCAAAATTTAGGGAGAGAACCCGAGCCAAGTTTACAAGCGATTCATCAACGACTGGTGCTTGTCAATGTCTTGCCATAGTCATCTGGTAGATGCAAAGGTTCGGTTTGGGTTAAGATTTTGATGGTCTGTGATGGCATGTTTGGACACAATCATTTTTCTCCATAGGGCAGTTTCTTTCGTGAGAAATCTCCAACTCCACTTGGCAAGAATAGCCCTATTTTTATCCTTGATACAGCAGAGATCGAGCCCACCTTCTTCAATGGGTTTCAGAACTTGTTCCCATCTAACCAGATTTTTGCCCCCCTTGTTGTTTGATCCTTCCACAGAAAATTCTGAATGAGCTTTTCAAGTTCATTAGCAAGTCTAATTGGGATGGAGTAGATGGATAAGAAGTAGGTGGGAAGATTGGATAAAGTGACTTGTATGAGGGTCAGCCTTAACAAGCACGAACACTTCATGTTGGGTAACGTGTCCGTGCCAGACACTCCGACACTAATCGGACACATATTGGACACTTGGTAGCTTAATAGATGTGTGTTACACACTAGTTGTAATAAGTGAATATACATTCGACACTTGTTAGGCACATATAAAATGCTTGTTAAGCATAAGAAATAGACATAAATAGTATTGTAGGACAAAATAAAAAACTTTTAGGGTAAAATATATCAAACTCACTTTTTTATACCTGAAAATGTATAAGTTCATTGGCTTTGAATTTCCTTCCTAAAAAAATAGTATATTTTAATAAACGTGTCCTTGTCGTGTCCGTGTCTTAGATTTTTGGGAAATAATGTATCACCATGTCCGTGTCCTATCTGTGTCTCGTGTCTGTATCCATACTTCTTAGTGAGCCTTCTTCCTTTCGAGATAAGAGTGTGTTCCCATGAGCTAAGTCTTTTCCTTACTTTTTCCAACAGAGGTCCGAAAAGGAAACTATTTGTTGCTTACCGTGGAGAGGGAGGCCTAGATAGGTGGTGGGCCAAGATCCTTTTCTGCAATCAAATTTGGATACCAAGAACTCAAGAACTGAATTTTCCAAATTGATGCCTAAT